TGGCGAACACATCAGGTCGTTGGTTGCTGTCGCCGTCTCGCCAAAGGAACGGTTGCGCCACCTGGTCCTCTTTAACTACTCGAATCTGGTGGAACATTTCGCGGATGTCCCCGCATATAGCCACTGGTCGTTCGCGAAAACGCATTAGAATACCTACCAGCGGTTGTAAGAGGTCAGGGCCTTTGAGCAGTACATCGTTTAAGCTGGTATCATGCGCCTTGGCCGCTGCATCCCATAAAAGCCTTTTTGTTGTTTTTTTTTGATGTTCGTGACTGCGAAAACAGGAATGAACCAGGACTTGCCCCCCGTAGATATCTCGTCGTCAGCTAATCTCCTTACATAGCCGTTTTCGATGTAGTCCTTAATTTTTTCGATGAGGAATTCCTTCAGCTCGGTGGTCTTTTCCATCTTCCTCTCCAGACATTGGAGGCGCTTGCATGCCATTGGGTATGGATCGGGCAGATCAACTTGGTCGTACTTCCATAGCAGCCCGGTTTCCCATTTCTTATCGCTGGCGACGTATTTAACTGTTTTCTCCATTAGACTGCGTGCGCGCTCATCTGCCTCGACCTAAGGGGTTGGACGGTAGAGCTGATGCCCACTGCCTCGACAGAAAAATACGCCCTCATCAAGCTATCTAGTTGACTGTCTTTGTTGCAGTTACAGACGTGCAGTAAACTTTCCCCCAATGGCTGGCTCGACTTGTCGTGACCGTAAACTGGCCAACCTATTTTACAACGCGCAGCTATAAGCTCATCGGCCTCAACCTGATGTACCTCCAGTGGAACACAAAGCTTAGTCTTGTCTAAGCCGATCAATAAACGCGCTCTGCACTCAGAATACGGTAGAATAGGCAGAGATTTCAGATGATCGCGTTCGCTCAACGTATCGACATTTAGTTATTGCTGCGGTAATTCGAGGTCAGTGATCGTACGCACGTTATGCAAACGATAACGCGGAACATTTTCCCCTCTGGCAGATATTTCGAGACCTACGAATTTTGAGCTCGCCTCGTGCTGTGTGATGTCGCCGGTCCATCTCAGACATAGCTCTTCGCTGGGCCCGTCAAGTCCCAACTCCTCAGCTAGGCCACTGTCCATCGGAGTGCACGATGCCCCTTCGTCAATCAGCGCAAATGTACTGATAGTCGTTTTGGGGCCATATAGGATTACCGGAATGTAGCGAAAAACTGCCCTCTTAAACTTGCTTTGGCTGAATAGGACTGTAGAACCGTCCTGACCTTTAATATCGGATTTGGTCACTTTACCATAGTGATTGGTTGCAGCAGTGTTGCCATGTAGTAGTGCGTTGTGCGCCATTCGACAACCGTCAACACCGCATGCTTGCTTGGAGGCGCAGCGTCGAACCATGTGAGTTCTGAAGCAGCGAATGCACAGCTTTTTTTCCTTGATTAGCTGCCAGCGTTCGTTTCGGCTCTTTGCTTTGAAGTCCGGGCAGTCAGAGAGGTTGTGGTCCTTTTCGCACTGGTGACAAGCAGGGGGTGTCTGCGTTTTCTCCTTAGGCGATTTAGTTGAGGCGCGCTCCTTAGAAATCTCGTCGTGCACAAAAACCCTTTCCTTAGTGCTCTTTCGTCCCGCCTTTTCTTCTCCAGTAGTACTGGCTGTAGGGTTAAGTGCTGTTACTTGACTAGCACACGATGCTAAACCAAATAACCAGTCGTCGAAGGTCACTATATCGACACGAACCGTAGCCATTCGATGACGACCCCAATCGAGCTTCATATCTCCTGGCAGTTTGTTCAGCAGCTCATTGATAAGCATAGGGTCGTTCAGGTAGTCGCTAAGACCCATTGCTTGCATCGTTGCTCTATAGTTCTGAACTGCCAACGCGAGCGCGATTAGCGTATCTAGGCGATCAGTCCTCACTGCTGGCATCTGCCTTAGTTTACGCTGTAGTGTGTCGTGGATCACGTCTGGTCGTCCGAAAAGCATGCGCAGTGTCTCGATAGCTAAGTGAACAGTAGAGGGCATCATTAGCTTTCCTCTCACAGCTTCAAGGGCCGCACCTCGTAGTGATTTTTGAAGCCTAATCAGATTCTCTTGTTCAGAGAATCCACAACGTTCAGTCGATTGCTCATAATTCGTTATGAACAGAGGCCACTCTTCTGGCTTCCCGGAGAAGAGTGGCAAGTCTTTACTTATTACCTGTCTTGCCGCCACGTGTTTGGGATAGACTTACGTCCAAACTACACTGAGACTGCGTATATAGCCGTCTCCACGTGCTGTCGGTAACGGGCGCAGGACCTCCATGTGGTTTCCTGCTGTAAAAGGCGTTTGCACATTGCTAGCATGTGCGCCAGCAGGCGGGAGTACACTTTCCTCTATAACGGCACCATCGAGATTCTGCAAGTCGGGCATATCGTGTTAGCAAATGGCCGTCGCGTATAAATGTCGGCAAAGTATTTTAGATTGTTGATGAGTGAGCAAATAAAACACGTATTTTGAGCGGTAGCACGTACAAATGCTTTATATTCGACGATTTTAATGCTTTGATACGTTTGTGCTAAAATACTTGTGCTCCTTGTGGATGGATGTTCACTCCGCCAACGAAATAAAAGGAAAAGAAACATTTAGCGCTAACAACTTGACAGAAAGAGCGCTCATGTCAGCGGCTGAGAGACATACATCCACAAGGTTGCAATTTATGGTACAAGTTTAATAAACTAGAAACTTAAGGCTGCAGAGACTTATTGCGCGCTAACAGTACACGATAGTATTCAAGCTGAGAAAAATATGAAATCATCATTTATATCAATATATCATTTAATATCTAATAATAATAATATTTAATATCATTTTAAATAAAGCATAATGTAGAATTTTTCTAATATATACTTAAAAAAAAAGAATTGCAAAATAAAATAAATTGGTGTAACTTCGACATTTTTGGTCGAAAAAGCTCAACCCGGAACCTCTAGGAATCACCTGAAGGCTTTTAAACTAATTACGTATTTATTTATATCCCTAACCTCACATTATTCTGTGCGAAAACTTTTGGATTCATGCATTTCAAATTTTTCATACAACAAAAAGGCCACTCGAATATGCATACATGCAGCTTTTTTCATGTTAGCTGAGCCAAAGATACCTAAAAATATTCGACAACTATATAATACTATTAGAATACCTTTCCCGCCATGTTCAGTGCTTATTGAGTGCATCTTATTCTGGATACGAAAATCTTTTTATACACATAAGTATGTATGATGTTTTGATTTGTCCCAAGTTTTGGTGCTTTTAGGAAAGTTGGCAGCCATGGGGTTTCACATTCGTGAGTACTTGTTCCCTCATTCCGATCACACATACAGATGCAATTCGCGCACAATTTTCTGTTTCCCCCCGGGCATAATTACCCCACCTCATCTACCCAACGGTTTCCACATTTGCTCGCGGTTTGCACGTTTGGGCATTTTGCCCGTATGTGCATATTTTGCCCATCGCTAGTATAATGGATCGGGTCATTCCGTCAAGATTAAGAGAATGTGTTTGTGTATATTGACGATTTGCTCGTCAGGGCACCGGAATTTGATACCCATTTAGTGCACCTGACAGAAGTCTCCGAATGTTTGTCGAAAGCGGGTCTGACAATAAACTTGCAGAAATATAAATTCTGTCAAAAGGAGGTACAGTACTTGAGATTTATTATCGGTCAGGGGGAATTGAGTACGGATCCGTCAAAAGTGCAGGCTGTGTTAGACTTTCCGATTCCAAAGACAACCAGACAGCTTCGTCGATTTCTTGGTCTCACCGGATGGTACAGGAGATTCATCCCCAACTTTGCCAAGGTCACTGCTCTCTTAACTTATGGTCTGAAAGCGAAAAAAGGAATTTTGTATGCCACCCGCAGCTGTATCCGCTTTCGAGCAGCCGAAAAGCAATCTATCGTCTCCAAAAGTACTGGTGAATCCGGACTTTTCTAAACACTTTTACGTGCAATGCGACGCGGTTACAACAGGTATAGGGGGTGCTCTTTCAGCTGGACGAAGAGAGAAATGAGTGTCCTGCCTTTTACATGTCACCGAAAGTAAACGCAGCTCGGAGAAACTATACAATAACGGAACTAGAGTGCTTAGCGGCCGTGGTGAGCGTAAAGAAATTTCGTCCCTATATATCCCTATTCGATAATCACGGATCATATGAGCCAAAAGGACTTGTCCGGACGTTTAGCACGATGAAGCATCAAGTTAAAGGCTTACGATTTTACCGTCACACATCGTAAGGGGGGCGAAGAACATTGTGCCCGACGCCCTGAGCCGAGTGAATATGGAAGAAATATTCATCGCCACTCTCGAAACCAACATTAGTCTACAAGATCCCGAATTTCAGGCGGAAAACTATCGGAATTTGAAAGAGGCAGTAGAGGAAAACGCAGGAAGGCTACCGGATGTGCACATAAGGGATAATGTCATTTATAAAAGAACGGATTTTAGGAGGGGAAGAGTCGGAAGATTTCGTCTGGAAAGTATGGGTGCCAGAGGAGTTAAGGGAGACTCCTAGAACGAATGCATAGCGGAACGTCGGCGGGGCATGGAGGGGTAGCGAAGCCAATTGGGTGCTTGCAAAGTAGATATTATTGGCCTGGGATGGTTGCAGCAGTCAAGCAGTTTGTAGGGAAATGCGATATATGTAAATCGACCAAAGCATCAAATATAGTTAGTCGGCCACTCATGGGAAACCGAATCGAGACGAAGAGACCATTCCACCGATTGTACATAGACTTTTGCGGGCCCCTTCCACGCTCCCGGGAAGGAAATTGTTACATTTTGGTCGTTTTGGATCACTATTCGTTTCTTTTCCTCAAACCCTTGCGGAGCGCTACAGGTAAGGAGGTGGTGCGTTATATGGAGAATGACATCTTCCATATCTTTGGAGTGCCCGAGACTACTCACTCCGTCAACAGCCGGCAATTTATCTCCTAGATGTATAAAAACTTTCTCGCTAGCTAGGGTGTAAACATGTCAAGACGGCTGCGTATTCGCCACAGGAAAATGCGTCGGAAAGAGTTAACAGATCGCTGCTGGCCATAATAAGAGCCTACGTCGATGAAGGAGATCAAAAGTCATGGGACACGTACGTGCAACATGGATAATCCTATGTACTCATGAGGAGACTAGGGGAGATCACTGATTCAAACAAGGAGCTTATACCGAAAGATTTTGAGGGATAAAATCATCCAGAGCCTGAAACAGGCGTATGAGAAGGGGAAAAGGTTATATAATACACGTGCTAGACCAATCAATTACACAACGGGTCAAGTTGTTTATCGGAGAAGCTTTAGGCAGAGTGATGTGTCACGTGGCTTCAATGCAAAATTGGCGCCGAAATTCCGCAAAGCGATAACCCCTACACGAGTTGGGACTTGCCTATACGAACTAGCGGACATGACGGCAGGCCCGCTGGAATATTTCACGCCAAAGACTTGAAGGTATAGGTTAGGGACGTGGGTTCGTGCCCCACCATATAAAAGCCACAGCACACCATCTCATCCCTTTTCGAGCAGATCGAAAGACCCAGCCTATCGATCAACTCACCCTGTTGCGATTGATGGTAGATGGTCAAGTTTATCAGCAATATGTCCGGCCATAAGTGCGGCCAGTCAAAAAGAGCAACCCACCTAGGCGGCGTCAATTGACTTTCCGAATACGCCCTAGGTAGCTGCTGAGACAAACGCAGCTAAGTTTGTTAATTCCATCCTTTCTAAGTATTCTATCAGAGAGTAAAGACGTGTTGGAAAATTTAATCGGAAAACCCTAGGTAAGATTTGCAAGATCAGAAAAGGATAGGTAGGAAAGACTAACCGCTTGACAATCTTCTAGTTGGAAAGTGAGGGCGCAATTCAAGCTGGCGGATTAACCAAAGTTTATTAAACCCCGGCAAAAGAAAAAAGGCCCAACAATAAGAATAAAGAAACTGCTCTCGGGAAACCAACAACCATTTTCACGGCAGCACGTCGGAGGTATATGATTGGAAACGTGGTCACCTGCGAAAATTACATCGTAAATTCTGCGAAATTCCGTCCAGGTTAAAATCAAGGAGTGAACTTTCCTGAAATCAACAGAGAGTGGCTCCCCAGTCAACCGAGCTGACTTATCGAAGGTACCAAGTCGCAGGTACCTCGACTATATGGTGCGTAAGGTAAATATATATTATTTTTGAAGAAGTATTGTAATTATTGGTGCGAAAGTGCACACGGATGCGCTTCGCATACGCTACAAATTCCGTGGAGTGAACACGTGCTCCAATTCACGTCAACACTAGGCCGGTTACTTAGGTCGGAAGTGACCATTCAACACTACGAGAAGATTACTATATCGATATCATAGTTATATAACTAGCTTAGTTAGAAATTATGAATAATCCTCTCAAATTGGCTAGAAGATATAAGTTTGAGGACGCGATTACTTTATGTGCAGGTGCATGTTTGCATAGCGTTAAGTGTATGTAGGGAAGTGGTTTACAGGTATAAATGTAAATTCGTCAGTGGGTGTAGATGCGAGCACCTTCACCGTAATCTCGATTCACGGGCGCCTTGGGAAGCGGGTTTATGGGAAAGAAGTTATATTTAAGAGGAATATAAAGATGCATGCTTAGACGTTTCACCACTTTTCTAGTACGTGAGGCGTTGATCTGCATATACGTAACACGTTCCATTCATAAAATTTCCGTTAGGATACTTATAAATAGTTGTACGGTTGAAATAGAGGACACTTCCAAAGCGCTTGTACTTAGGTGTAAGAATACATAATTTAAGCAAGAGAATAATGTGAAATAAAGAGCCAAAATGAAGTGTTAAAGAAGAA